AAAGTACTGTGTTCTCAAGACCAAGAGGCATTTGTTGGTGTAAATTCTATGATGGATGAATACGAGGGAATATCACTGAAATTTAAGGAGTCCTGATGGGTTGGAAGGAAGAGAAGAAGGGAAGAATGAGCATAGAAACAATGGTGATTAATTTTCTAAAACACAGTGTATGTGAATGATTGTGTGAAAACCAATGCGAACAAAGGAATGTGTTAAACACCATGTACTTGAATGAAACAAATGTGTTTAAATTTCATATGCAAACCAATACAAAATAAAATTTAACAAAAGAGGGGAGATGAAAAACTTAAGTGTCATCATCAAAACTAAGATGAAATTCAATCGTAAAGAGATAAAAACATAATTTGAGTAAGAAAGACATTTTAGAGCTTGAGGTCTAGAAGAAGAACCATTTCAAATAATGATGGAATCTAATGCCTGGCTTTGATGGCATTATCTTTTTTTAATCTCTTCCAACTATAAAACTTTATGAGACATATGACTGATTGAATACTGCCTTTAAATTCCAATTTCCAAGTAGCTGACAATGTGACCCCAATCAATTCTTATTACTGGTGAAGTCCCATTAGATCCAAGTCTATGGGATATAATAGAACAGGGGTTTCTGCAGGGGCTCAAGGGGACGACAATGAAGTAAGAATATTCGATTTCTATATTGCTCTAAAATTTTTCTACAGATTATACTCACACTAATATTGGAGAGTGGGCTGGGGGACTGGAGAAGATCAGAGTCTTTCTGGGTTATATAAAAGCAAATGTATGACTAAGAAGGAAAAAAATATCTTTGTGCTGCATATGCACATGTGATATGAGCTTATCTTCACTTCCCCCTTGCCCATGCCCCAGCCAGTTTTCACTGGAAAGTGGTAAAGCCGAGGTGTCATGGAACAAATTACTTTTGAGAGGCTCAGCTCCTTACAGGTTGGTGTTTATGGGAGTACTCAGACTGGACACACTATTGTGAGACAAAGGGCATACTTGTCACCGGCTTGTGATAATTACTGAACCAAGCAGGGGAGGGAAGGCCTCTGAAGGCCTCTGAACTCTGTTTTTGTTGTGTTCAGAAAGCAGGAGCCTGCCGCCTAATTGCCCTCTATTCCGGTTTGCTGTGGTGGCTCAGCTGGGTGGAGTGAACTCTGGGAAGAGATGGGTTCATTTTTAGTTACCTCACCAGATTGCTAACTTCCACTCTGGAGGCATAGCTCACCATAATTACTATAATCCCGGGGCCCAGAAGCAGCTCTTCTGGCACAGGCAGCTAAGGCTCCCACAGAAGCTGTCCTACCTGAGGCTTCTGGGGCCTGGAGGGCTGGGGAAGGAGTCTCATGTGACTCCAGATTTGAGATACTGGGAACTCATCTTCCTGTACTTGGCAGGAATGGAGTTCCTGGAGGAAGGAGGTTGTCTGTATTAATAGAAAGAGCTGGTAGATTAAGGCAAATCTTCTGCTCCAGGCTAATTGGCTAGCGAGCTGTTTACATCCTTGATTTGCAAACAAACCATCATCTCTTTTCTCTAACCCAACTCCATCCAAACACTCTTCTTTGGCTTGTCTCAGACCTTGACTTTCTCCTGAGAAAAGCCCAGGTTGTGGCGTGCTGCCGAGCCAACTTCAACCCCATGGGACAGGGAAGAACTGCTGCTGTAGGGGTTCCTAGGCTGTAAGCTTTCCAGGAGCAGATTGCTGGGTCTCTGTTCTCATGAAGTAGCTGGTGGGTTCGAACTGCTGGCCTTTCAGTTAGCAGTCAAGTGTTTTGTTTTGTGGTGTGGTTTTTTTTTTTAATTTTTAAAAAATATTTATTATTTTTTTTGTGCATTGTGCCGTCAAATTAGATCTGACTAGTACAGGAGGAGATTGTCTGTCCTTCTCCAGCAGAGCATCTGGTGGATTCGAACCAGAGCAGTCAAGTGTTTTACCATTAGACTACCAGGACTTTTTGGGGAAAGTCCTAAAAGTTAAAAAAAAAAAAATTCCATCAAGCAGAAACCAGAGGGTACACAAATGTTTAGCAACTGTCCTGGGCAGGGAGCAAAGAGTCAAAGGGAGGGCTAAAGAGCATAAGAGAGGGGGGAGGAGGGGGAGGAAGAGAGAGAGACAGAGAGGGAGATGAGAGAGAGCGTGTGCTATCAAATTTTACTTTGGACCTATAATTTGGTTAAAATAAATTTACCAATCTAAACCACCAGGTCTAAGGATTTTAGCTAGATCCTAAAGTAAGGTCACGGAAAGGCTGACTAGCTCATAGATCCATGAAGATCCTTTACCATTCCCGCAGATGGTGAGGGGGTGGAGATAGGGGGATAACAATTTCTTAACAAATTCACATCCTAAGTGCGTCTAGGTGCCTGACATTTTGAAGACAGCCCTGAAATGAGAGAGAGAAGGAGGAAACTTGTTTGTGACAAAAAAGAAAAAGCCTGAGGGAGGCAGAATCTCCTCCACCCCACCCCCATTACCCTGAAGCCTTGGAGACTAAAATGCATCCGCATCCGTTATTACTGATGGCAGCTTGCTGGCCGAGAAGGGGAGGGAATTTGAGGTCAGGGACATTTTGCTCAAAATTGTGGCTGTGCTTAGACATTAGGAAGATAAAGTGGGCAAATAATGGATTCCAGCAGGACAAACTGCCCCTCCCCGCCTCCCTGCTGCCCTCACACCACAGGGAGCAGACGCGCCTCCCTTTTAGAGTCTTAGTCACCTCGTGTAGAGGCAGCAGCGGCCAGAGTTAGAAACACAGCTCTGCCATGAGCTGAATGCCGCCTTGAGAATATTCCAGTTAGTCCCACATACTTTGGGCACAATTTCAGGACAGGTCGGCTCATGGAGAAAAAGACATCACGGTTTTCCAAGCAAAGGGTCAGGAGGAAGGTTCTCAAAGAGATAGATTGACTAAAGGGGTGTGGCAAGGGGCTCAGACACAGCAGATTGTGAGATCGTGAGGAGGGCATGGGGCGGGGTGTGTGTGTGTGTGTGTGTGAGTGTACCGTTCTGTTGTATTAGGGTGCCTGTGAGTTGCAGTTGAGACTCCACAGCACCTAACAGATTTTTCCGTGATGTTTCACACTATGCTTTAAGCCCTTAGGAAGCTCTGATGGTCTAGTCTGTAGGACATTAGGTATTTGTTAAGCTGGCACTGATGGCCTAGCTTGAGGCAAGTTACCTCTGTGGGTTCGAATTCACCAGTAATTCTGTGGGAGAAAGATCAACAGCCTCCTTCTGTGCAATTTACAGCCTCAGAAACCTGAGTTGGTTTTGTCTCCGTGGCAAGGAGAGCAGAGTGTAGATCACCGTTCACGATCTTTTCCAGAACATACAGAAGGGTCTGGGCATAAAGTAGAGGTTTCATCCACGGTTGTGAAATTTATCTAGATTGGATAAGAATTTAGGGACAAGTCCAAGAGTGATAAAAAGAGGGGTGTTTTCACTGTTTCTCCCTTTTTTTTTTGAAATTTTATTTTATTAATTTTAATGAACATTCACAGAGATTTTGGATTTTCATTCATTCATTATTGCACTTTTTTCTTTACCCCCCTCCCTGCTTCTCTTTCTGTGGGACCCTGTCCATTGCAGTGAGGGCATCAGATGAAAGGGTTCTGTCCACATCCACAGTCTATTCAGGAGGCTTCCCAATCTCTCCAATTGGCTCAGAGCAGCCATGGATTAGCCAAGGGGGCATTCCCTCCCAGCTCCAAGTCTCCTTGGGTGAGTAAATAACAGCCAGAGGCAGGCATACTCTCAGAAACACGTAAGTGCTGAGCTTGCTTTCTAGAGTGGATGTGTTTCCCCTAAGATCTCAGCTTGATCGCCAGAGAAAAAGCCAATATGATTTTGTTTGCAGCACCAGCACTTTGCTTGGGTGATAGAAAAGTACTGAGATACTTCTCACTGACTTCCCAGAGGATGCCACCTTTCAGCTTTCCGCACTGAGATCATGTCTACTCTGTATCTCTCTCACAAAAGCTAGGGCCGCTAAAGGTTCAGCACTTTCCTTTCTGCCTACCTCCCCTTCCCTAATCCCCTGGTTCTCACCCAAACATCAGCACCAGGGACCTCCCTCTAGTGCAGAAGAGAAATAATGTGAAAATTAAGTGAAGAGCTGAACTCATATCAATCTGAAAGCTGGCACGAAAGCAATGCCTTTTTAGGATAAAGATGACAGGGGTATGGTCAATGTGGGGAAGCAGCATCTGAACTGTACTAACTCCACAAGGGGAAAGCATCATCATCAAACTCAACTGCATAAAGCTGAGTCCTATGAGATCAGATACCTGTTCCATCTTCTGTCAATTCTGACACCAACCATTCCTCCCAGGGATCTATTATCAGTTCCCCTAAATTGTTGCAGTGGCCACACAGAGCTCACAGACAAAACACACAATTATGAGGTTTACTTTGGAAGTAAAAGGTTAAGGGAGCACTGATGACCTAGCAGTAAGGAGTTACACTGCCAACCCAATGGACCCCGGTTTGAATCCACACTGCTCCACAGAAGAAAGACAGACAATCTTCTCCCATTTGATTTACTGCTTCTGAAAACCCACTGGAGGGTCAGCTCCAAGTCAGTTCTTATTTGATGGCACATAACGACAACAGGTTAGGACAGGATATAATTCTTTAGTCAAGTCAGCTTCTTCTCAGAAGCGCTCAAGGCAGTCCCTCTAAGCGTCAACCTCCCTGGACCCTCTCAAAGCTCTGGGCCGGTTGTACAAAATTCTTTTATTTGTGCCAGTTATGGTGTATTCCCCATCCCCCACTCTGCCAGTAAGTCAATCCTGAACCCCATGCAGGGACAGTTCTACCTCAGCTCTGTCTCACACTAGACTCTGGTTTTCCACCAGCTCTGCTACTTCTGGTCTAGGTTTCCACCTAGTGCAGAAATCTCTTGCCCAAAAGGATGCTGCACTCTCTTGTGTCTTGTTTCTTTCTTTCTTTTTCTTTTCTTTTTCTTTTAGTTTTGTGTTTTATTTATTTAAGAAGTTCAGGCCTTGACTGCATATTCCCACAGTGGGTACAGGCGCTCTTTTCGCTGCTGCTCCTTGGTCTTCAGGTTCTCCTCAGGCTTGTTGAGCCTTCGGCGCATGGCTCGTGTTTTCTTGGGCCACAGATCCAGGGGTTTGTACTTCTTGCCCTTATAGTATTTTCTGAGGTTCTCCTTCCGAGTTTGGTTAATAACAGTGAGAACATGGGCAGTGAATTTCCAGATAACTCGGATTGTGGAGAGTTTAGAAAGAAACCACACTGCCTGTCACTTTGGCGACGTGCAGCTGGGAAAGCTCCATTTTCAGATCGTCCAACTGTTTCAACAGCTTCTCCTTCTTGCCACGAAGATCCCAAGCCTTGATTTTGGCCATGGCTGAGAGATAGAACGCGCTGCCCAAGATCCAAGCCCAAGAGAAAGACGTGTCTTGTTTCTTGATGGTTGGAGGATTCTCATTTTCTTCCCCTGAATCTGCTCTATTAAAACCTAGAAGGATCACAAAACTGACTCATCTTCTTGGTGGTTACAGACATAACATGAGGGTGGCTGAGTCTGACTTCTACCTGCTTCATACAGGGGAACTGTCTCCATCAATAATATCCCTAGCACCATACAAATAGCATAGTCAAACATGCCACTCTCCATGCTCCTGCACCTATTTCTAATAATTATTGGGTGTGATGTTTGTTGTAAGGCTCACAGACTTTACTCACAGTTGGGTTTATTAGGGAAATTGGTTGGAGAGTGGAGGAGGCAAAGAATATCTCACAATGGAAGTTCAGGTTTAGTCCAGCAGTCCCCGGCCAGATTAACAAGGCATGATTCCTTAATTAGTGAAAGTCCAAGGTCAGATCAAGAGCACAAATGCAAGAAGTGCCTGGTTTTTGCAATCATCTGGCAAACTTTATCTCAGAGCAGTTGTAAGTCAGCTTTTCCTTCAATCATCTAGCAAGCAAAACGTTTAACTGTGACCTTTATTTCCAGGGTTCCTCTGGTTATACCTTGTCACAATCTCTTCACAATCTCTCCACCACTGTCACTGCCATTTCTTACAGAGCAGAAGGCACTTTATTATATTGACCGCACAACTGTTGATGATTTGCAAGACCACGGGCCCACAGTAAAGGCAACTGAAGATGATGCCCCCCAATAAGGGCTAACACAATGGTTAGAAAAGCCAGTTTTCAAGAGGACTGACACCCAAGTAGTAAACAACATGCCTTGTTTGCATATTCTAATATGAAAGCTTTGATTTAGTTTATTAATTTTATTAGCAAGATATCTACTCTCTTTGGTGGAGCCATAAACACCCTGGATTTATAGAGCAAGAATGTAAGTTTAAAGACTAAGGTGCTTGGCTCAAGATATGGTCTGTTAAAATACTTTATATGCCTATGAAAGTTGGATAATGAGGAAGGAAGATGGAAGAAGAATTGATGCTTTTGCATTGTGGTGGTGTTGGTCAAGAGTATTGAATATATCATGGACTGTCAAAAGGACAAGCAAATCTGTCTAGGAGAAATTGCAACCAGTGCATTCCTTAGAGTCAAGGGTGGTGAAATTTTGTCTCATTAACTTTGGGCATGTTTTGGAGCCAGTCCTCGGGAAAAGACATCATGTTGGGAAAGGTAGACTGCTAGCAAAAGAGAAGAATACCTTCAATCAGATGGCTTGACACAGTGACTATAAAAATGGGCTTGAGCGAGATGCTGGCCGATCTTGGCTGCTTCGACCCCAACGCCTTCATGCTTCTCCTCCGGGTGGCTTTCCAGAGTCTGCTGGACGCCCAGGCAGATGAGGCCGTGTTAGATCATCCAGACTTGAAACACATCGACCCACTAGTATTAAAACATTGTCATGCAGCAGCTGCAACTTGCATAGTAGAAGCAGGAAAGCAAAGAGCTGATAAATCAACTCTAAGCACTTACTTAGAAGATTGTAAATTTGACAGTGAGCGGATAGAAATATTTTGTACAGAATATCAGAAAAATAAGAATTCCCTAGAAATCCTACTGGGAAGTATAGGCAGATCTCTACCTCACATAACTGATGTTTCTTGGCGTTTGGAATACCAGATAAAGACCAATCAACTTCATAAGATGTACAGACCTGCATATTTGGTGACCTTAAATGTAGAGAGCACTGATTCAGGATCCCACCCAGAGATTAGTTTTAGCTGCAGTATGGAACAACTACAGGATTTGGTTGGAAAACTTAAAGATGCTTCGAAAGGCCTGGAAAGAGCAACTCAATTATGAATTGGGAGACTTCACAGTCGGGTTGAGGTCTGGAGAAAGACCAGGAACACCTTGCCTTCAGCGGAACCTTCCTGTCTTCCAGCTTGATGTCCACCTTATCAGTACAAACACTTTTCTTCATACTACTCATCAATTTTTTACTTTTTATTTTTATACACTTATAAAAGGGTTAAGAAGGATGTTTTTTTCTCTGCTCAGTATTTGAATCATTAGTATTAACTGTACATTTGTCATGTTTGATCTTTCAAGTTTTATGAGAAAAGTAGCTAATATTAAGAATTATACTCAATAAATAAGCTGTGCTCACACTAAAAAAAAATGGGCTTGAGCATGGCAGAGATCACAAGGGAGGTGCAGAACAGGGCAAGAGCCAAGTCTGTTGTTCACAGGGTCGCTATGAGTCGTAGCTGACTTCCTAATACCTAACAACAACATGGCCCTTCTTTCCAAAGATCTTTTAAAACAAAACAAACTCAGTGTTTGGTCTCCCTCTCAGTTATGAATGGGATGAAAGCAGCACATAAGTAGCACCTTTTTTTTTAGACAAAGGAAGTCAAGAGGACTAATCCTAAAACCTTAACTACAAGTCTGAAGTAGGCAAGTCAAATGCATTCAATCAAGTATGGGATTTTCCATTCCATTCTTGGGGAAAAGAAAGAAGAGAGGAGGAGTGGGGAGAGCTCCGAGGGTGCAGGGATGATTCCAAGGAACGTGTAAACAGGGAATTCTTGGAAACAGCGAGGACTGCTCTGGGTTTTCTCCGTCATTCTTTAGTCCGTGGTGAGGTGACTGAGAAGAGAGTCTAAATATGCACCTTGGTAATGTAGCCTGACATGCTGCCCTGGACGCGCTCACCAGGTTGTGCCAAGAAATCTGGAGGACAACTACTTGGCCAACTGACTAGAAGAGATCCATATTTATTCCCATTCCATAAAAAAGGTGACCTGATAGACTGGAAATTATTGAACAGTATCACTAATACCACATGCTAGCAAAATTCTGCTGAAGATTATCCAGAAATGACTGGAACAGTATATTGAAAAGAGAACTACCAGAAATATAGGCTGGGTTTAGAAGAGGTCATGGCACTAGAGACGTTATTGTCAATATCAGATGGATCTTGGCAGAAAGCAAAGTACCAGAGGAATGCCTGTACTTCATTGACTATGTAATGGCATTTGACTGTGTAGATCGCAACAAATTGTGGCTAACCTTGAGGAAAATGGGAATTCCAGAACACTTGACTGTTTTTATGCAAAACCTAACTTGGACCAGGAAGCAGTCCTCAAAACAGAGCAAGAAACACTGTGTGGTTCAAAATCAGGAAAGGAGTGTGTCAGGGATGCATCCTGTCTCTGTAACTTTTCAATTTATATGCAGAACAAATAATTTGGGAAGCTGGTCTTTACGAGGAGGAATGTAGCATCAGGATTGGAGGAAGATTCATCAACAGTCTACATTATGCAGGTGACACGATCTTGCTTTCTGAAACTGAGGAGGACCTGAAGCATTTGCTGCAGAAAGTCAAGGATTGTAGTCTTCAATATGGATTGAAGCTCAATATTAAGAAGACAAAGATTTTTCACTACTGCTCCAATTGGCAGCATCATGACAGAAGGATAGGAAATTGAAGTTGTTAATAATAACAGCTTGCTTGGCTCCACAATCAGCCCTCCTAGCACCAGCAGTCAGGAAATCAAAAGATCAATTGCACTGGGAAAATCTGCTGTCAGGGACCTCTCCAGAATACTGAAAAACATTTATGTCAGTCTAGAGACTAAGGTGCACCTAATCCAGGCCATGGTCTTCGCAATTACTTGTTATGCTTCAGAAAACTGGACAATGACTAAGTAGGATAGAAGAAGAATCAATGCCTTTGAATTGTGGTGCTGGAGAAGAGTCTTGAACATACCATGGACCGCCAAGAAAACAAATAGGTCTGACCTGGAGAGGGTGAAACCACATTTCTCCTTGGAGGCTAGGATTTTGAAGCTCTATCTCAACATAGTTTAGGCATGTGGCCAGGAGGGACTGGTCCTTGAAGAAGGCCATCATGCTCAGAAGGGTGGAAGGACAGTGCAGGAGAGAAAGACCCTGGATGAGATGAATTGATACAGTGACTGGGGCAATGGGGGTTGGTGTGTCAGAATCAGTGAGACTGGCTCAGGATAGTGCAGGCCTCAGAGCTACTATCCACAGGGTTGCTATGAGTTGCAGGTGACTTGATGGCACATAACAACAAGAAGAAGAGGTTGAGCCTTTCTGGAAGTTTAAATCCACCAGGCACTCTGCAGGAGAAAGATAAGCAATTATATTTTTGCAGCTTTGAAAATGCAATGGAGGGTCAGATATAAGTCAGTCGCAATGCCAGAGCAATGAGGGGATGACAATGTAGCTCATAGCAAAAGGATCTGATTCCTTCCTCTTTGATTGACTGGGGATTCATTTGTTTGCACCTCAGTGCCCTGATGCATCACAGAAAGTGTAGTAGGGGAAAATGTCTACCTCACTATAGTCTTGTTTTCAGAAAAAAGGAGATCTTCAAGTTGGAGGAGTTGAGTTCTGTTTCCAGCTCTTCTGGACTTGGGATCACAACACAACTATGAACTTGGGACAAGTATTGAGAAGCTTGAGGTTATTCAGATCATAAAAATTGAAACTGAGAAGTTGTTTTCACAAGAAAAGAGGCAGATGAGCCTCTGAGATGCCAGGCTGAGGGAATCAGTGTTTGAGAAGCCAGTTTTACCATGACCATTGTCTCACCCTGAGGATAGAACAAATGACATATGTTATGTGTTTAATGTGTGTCAGGCTCTTTGCACAGTTGTCTCATTCAGTCTACACTTATATCCAGTTGTTGTTGTTGTTAGGTAACCTTTGAACTGGCTGTTTCTTAGTGACCCTCTGTATGATGGAACAAAATCCTCCCTGAACCTGTGGCATTCTCACAATCTCAGCTGTGCGTAAACCCATTGCTACAGATGCATCCATTGCATCAATCCAACTCCTTGAGGTTCTTCCTTTTTTGCAATGACCCTTAACTTTTCCAAGCATGATGTCCTCTTCCAGGGACTGCTCCCTCCTAATAACATGCCCATAGTATGTGAAACACAGTTCGAAGTGCACGCTGGCTTCACTTATTTTAATATTTATTTGCTCTTTGCAGTCCATGTATATTGAGTATTCTTTACTAACATCTTAATTCAAAAGCATCAATTTTTCTATTTTCCTTTCTCATAGTCCAATTTTCACATGTATATGAAGCAACTGATAAGAACCGTGGCTTGAGTCAAGCATCCCGATTTCTAAACTGGCATTTTTGCCCTTTAGGATTTTTAGAGATGTGCTTGGCTGATTTGCCCATGACAATATGTTGGCTAATTTCTTGATTGCTGCTTCCATGAGTGTTGAAATATCATCCCATTTTGCACATGAGAAAACTACGTCCCCAGTGATTAATTTGTTCAAGGTCACCCAGTTAGACAGTGGAAGTTTATCATCCGCACTTAAATTACAAGTTAGTATCAGAATTAGAATCTATCGCTTTCTGGTTTGTTGTAGTGTCGTTTGAGAGTGTACTTCACGTACCTAGAAGTAATGAGGACCGGCAAGGAGCCCAAACAGGGTAATGCAAATTACGGATTTTTTCAGAATTCTTTTTTTTTTTCCCCTTCAAGACTTGTACAACGCAGGCGTGGACTGGCTTGAACCGCCGCTCGGCGCCCTTTGCGCTGGCCACTATCGCCCTCTGCCGACAAAAGGCGGGAGCGCGAGTTACCGGAGAGTCGCCGAGAAAACACACTCACCGGAAGAGGGCGCCCGCCAGCGAGCGTCGCAACCCACTCTGGTTGGCCCTTCCTTAAGGATTTCCTGTCTGTTCTCTATGATCCATCCGGCTGCGGCACCAGGCGTGTCGCGTCATCACGGACGAGTCTCGCGTCGTCCGCTTACTGTAAACAATAAGAAAGCGCGCTGACCAGGAAGTGGAAGCCGAAGCCGGAACCGGGCCGAGGAGGCTTCGAGGGCAGCGGGGCCGAGGCCGAGAAGGTGCTGAAACCATGGCTCTGGCTCTGATGGGCACCGTAAATGGAGCCCAGCCAGGCCCCGTGGAAGAACTCGCCAAACTCGAGTATCTGTCTTTAGTGTCGAAGGTTTGCACTGAGCTGGACAATCATTTGGGGATCAACGACAAGGATCTGGGTAAGTCCAGGGAAATCTCTGTGGCCTTTGGGTCTGGGTCTGAGGGAGGCGAAAAGAGAAAGATTGACGGACCGGGGATGTGTCTCTCTCGGTCACATGCTGATTGAGAACTCTCCGGGCGTAGCTATTAGGAACCGTTTCTCAGAGTTGTTACTGAAATTGTTACTCTGGATTGCCATGGTCGCTTGATCTTGTCCACAACGTCAATTATTTAGCAGCAAACAACATCAGCAGCGTTCAGTGTGGTTGATAATGATGGCTGACGTCTGTTTATCATCTGTGTTTTATTTACATTGTCTTGTTTAATGCTTGTACCCCTTTGTGAGACGGTATTAGTACTTGTTGCACGAGAACAGGCTTCTGAATTTTTAAGTGATCCCCTCGAGATCATATATCCTGGTTTGGAATTCGGGGTTTTTGAAGTTGATTGTTGTTATGTGCCGTTGAGTCACCTGCGACTCATAGCGACCCTGTGTACAACAGCCCTAAACTCCGCTCTGTCCTGTGTCAATCTGTCTCTGACACACCCACCCCCGTTAACCCAGTCACTGAGTCAGTCCATCTCATCGAGGGCCTTCCTCTCCTGCGCTGTCCCTCCACCCTCCCAAGCATGACGTCCCTCTCCAAGGACTGGTCCCTCCTTGCAACTTTTGAAGTTAGTGTCTTGTTTTTAGCTGTGCTCCCTCCTGTTTAATATTCTTCTGCTTCCCAGACACCTGTCATTAGGGGTTTTGGAGCAAACTGTTATATCTGAGAAACAGAAAGTGAGAAACCAGGAAAGGCCAGAGTGTTAGAGCAAGATTGGAGAATGGGGGCGTCCCTCCGAAGGTGAGAGGAACGGACCTTGAAAGATACAGGGCTGTTTCATGCTTTGTAACAGAGGGAAGTACAGATGTTCCATGGTTCAGTGTGGGGAGTTGGGCTGCTCACCCAAAGCCTGTCTCTGGTGGTTTGAATTCAACAGCTTCAAGGTTGAGAAAGATGGATAGTTTGCTTTGGTGTGATTTACAGCCTCTGAAAACCCACTGGACGCTGTTATATAGTTGGTCCCAATTCAACATTAGTGAGTTTGTGGTGTTGTGGGTTTTTTGTTTTTTTAATATCTACATCAGTCTGACTAGGCTTTGATTTTCGGTCTAATGTTATCCCATGTGTTGCAAATTCTAATCCTGATGCTGCCAGAAACAAAGACTTTCTAGAGCTGACAGAGAAAAAAACCTTCTGCTAGGACTGGCAGTCTAAATTTGGTCTTGTAGCCTTCTAAACTGTAAGAGAATATATGTGTTTCTTACATCCATACACTTGAGAGATTGCTAGCATTCAAAAAAGTTCAGGATTGATTTTGATTGTGCTGTAGAATTTTGACAGTTGGTTTGAAACTGAAAATCATGGGAAAACTTTTGTTCTAATAAGAAGCCTGGCCTGCTGCAAGGATAGCAGATGCTGATGATGGTAATGGGGATAAAAGGACTTGGATTCTGAAGGAAGAGGGGAGAGATGTGAAGACTGATCCCACTGTCTCCTGGATCTGGCAATGAAGTGTATCGTTTCAGTTCAGTTCACTTTTGCTTGGCAACAGTGGAAAGTACTCTTGTCCAGTGATATTTATGACCACGAAGGGCTACTCACTCAGTAAGTAAAAACCACCTTGTTTTGCTTACTGAAGGAGTCTGAGGAAGACCATCAGAGAAGGAATCCTGACTTTCGTGTCTTCAGTTTCCCAGTGGCACCAATGAGGCTTTTATCTCAAAAGGGCCTTTGAAAGGTGAATTTTCTGCATTCCCACGGCCTTGGCAAATTTATATACTTAGTAAAGTGCATTTGTTTGTCTGAATAACCATCCTGAAATCAGGAATGCACATTTGTGTTTGGATAGCTCTAGTGGCCGAGTGGCAAGAAGCTATGCAGCCAGTCCCACGCATGTGGCTCAAATCCACCTGCTGCTCCACAGGCTAAGGATGGGCCCTTTCCTCCCATGTCATTTACAGCCTCTGAAAACCACTGAAAGGTTGGTTCTGACTCAACAGCACACGACAGTCAGCCATATGGGGGCTGAGTTGCATTAGCACCTCGTGTGTTGCATGTACTTGATCGGGAGCAGGTGCCAGTGATGTCCCTGCTGCAGTCTAGTTAGAGCAGGAGTGCCAGCTTTTGAGCTTTAGTTTGCTGCTGGGATCGGGTGGTGTGATGCCCACACTCTGTTGGTTAATAGTGTGCGCTTTGCTCCTTAGTTTTGGTCAGAGCAGAGGTGTGAGCTCTGCTCTTAATATATGAATCTGGTTACAAAGATTTTTTTTTTAATGTTGATAGACATTTTTGAATGAGTAGGAGCTAAAAGCTTCTTGGTGACGCTGTGGTGCTTAATTTTGGTTGCACCCCAGTGTGTGTATACATTTGATTTGACTGACTGTATAACAGCTTCTGGAAAACTACACCAGTATTACACCTTGTAATTGAGCTTTTGAGAACAACTTGTTTGTCACTTTCATTTTCCATAACCATAGCAAGGATGGGAGCTAAGATTTCCATTCTAGAAGAAAGTCTGTTATGGCAAATTCTGTTTGATTGGCAAAAGATTGGTACTTTATTGTAAAAACATTCGGCCCATGTTGAAATTAGATTCTGAAGAAAACTGGCCTCTGAATGGGTTTTTAAGTTATTATACTGCCCTGCAGTTGGACTAATTTTGTCAGAAGTCAGGGAAATGAGATGAGATTTCTATTAAAAACCTTTAGGGTTCTGTACAGCAAAGACATCAGTGTGGAGGTTCTGAGGGCTCCTGCCACAACCAGTGACATCTAGTGGTGATCTAGCATCTTCAGCACAACCTACTGAAACTGAGGGGGGCTGCTCAAAAATAATCTCCCTTTCCTACACTGCAGGGACCTTTTTCTCTCTGGAACTGGGACAGGGCTATTGTAATCCACTTTGAACTGCACTCTTCCTGAGAGCAAAGACTGGTTCAGAAACAACTAGTGATGTCTGAGCCTGTGTCAGGATCACTGTCAGGGCCAGAGCTTCATTGTTAACCTCGGTTTTCCCAAGTCAAATCCTTCCGTTTTTAAGCTGTGATACAACTGACTGGTTTGTTGGGTGTTTGTTTTGTTTTGTTTTGTTTTTTGTTTTTTTTTTTTTTAGGGGGACGACAGTGGGGAGTTTGCTTCCCCGTTCCTTTTGTTGTTTGGAGTGTTTTGTGTCTGGAGTGTCTCACCCCCTCTCCAACAGGTTCTAGGTGGAAAATCATTAGTTTGCTTGTAGAAAAGTTGTTTATTTTTAGATACTTAAGTCTGATTTCTTTCCTGATTTGCCATGTCTTGTTCTGATTTCTCCCCATCCCCAGCTGAATTTGTGATCAGTCTTGCTGAGAAGAATACCACCTTTGATACTTTCAAGATTTCGCTTGTGGAAAATGGTGCGGAATTCACGGTAGGTGTGTCTGGGGTCCCTGGTTCTATTATCTCTGTTGTATTTTAAAATGGGATTTTGGTGTAGGAAAGAGGCAAGAATCTGTTCACAGCAATCAGACAAGGTATTAATCGGGTAATGTTTTTGTACCACTCAGCCCTCTTGGCACAGTGTTTAAGTGCTTATCTACGAACAGAGGTCAGTATTTCAAACCCACCAGTGCATCCCTAGGATGAAGGTGTGATAGTTAGCTTCAGTGGGGCAGTTATGTTCTATCCCACGGGGCTACTGGGTGTCAGAAATGAGTGGATGGCAGTTGTTGTATACTGTTGGCCCTCCAGCGGGTTTTCAGGGTCATTAAGTTGCGCAGGAGGAGACTGCCCATCTTTCTCACCCCAGAGCAGCTGGTGGATTTGAACTTTGTGCCTTAGGGTTGGCAGTGCAATTTCTTACTACTAACCCATGAGAGCTCCCTTTTCTAGGAAGATAGGGTGGGATTTCTGTCATTAAATCTTTGTGCGTATTTATGTTCTTGTATACTGGGAAGGAAGTTAGAGACAGATCTGGGTTTTTAGAAATAATTCTGAGCCACAGAAAAGAAAATAGTTGAGGGAGCTGATGTCACCCCCAAAGATCTCTAATTTCAGCTTTGTCTGAAGGCACTATCCTATCTGCCACGTAAAGTAAAGACCCGGCTTTATTTGTTCCAGTTAGTTAAGTGCAGGCACAGAACTAGCCCTTTCCAAAGGATGTTCTTTCCCTTTTCTGAGTCTGTTAAGAATCAATTGACTTTGTAAGCAAACCAATATAAAAAAGAATCAAGTGACTGCTGATTTTCATTGTTTTGTTTTGTTTTTCCCCAAAGGATTCTCTTATAAGTAATTTACTACGTCTCATACAAACCCTGCGGCCTCCAGCAAAGCCTTGTACCAGCAAAGGTGAGTACAGCTCCCTGCAGAGCAGAGGCTCCAGCCTGACTTAGATTGTGAGCATCCAGGAAGTTGTATTTGTTTTCCTTTTCACAGTTGCTGAATAAGCAAATGTTCTAGAGAGCATTTTCCAATAAACTAAGACAAAATGGAAGTCTTAAGTTATACTCAAGTGAATGCTGTTGAACCCCCTTATTGCCACATGCCTAGATACTCAGGCCAGCAAAGTTTTTGTGGCCAATATTTCTAGTAGGTTCAGTTATGTTTATAGTAATAATGTATGAGTAATATGTAGCAAAATGCCATGTCTGTCTTTTTGTTTAATGCAAATGTTGAAGTTAACTTTATTATTTATAGTATTAAGAATATTAAGTGTATCTTTTCTTTTTTAATCCCATCATGCTCTTGGATGAAACAAGATCCAGTTGTTAAACCCAAAACTGAAAAAGAAAAGCTGAAGGAACTCTTCCCCGGCCTCTGCCAGCCAGACAACCCTTCTGTTCGGGTACTGACATTCATTTTGAGACTGTCTCCTTCCTCCCTCTTTCTGTGTCTCATGATTTACATCAATTTTAATGTTTGCCTCTGTGTTAGATAATGAAAGTAAAAGCATTTGATTTACAAATCACTTCTTGAATGTCTGTTCTGTATAAAAGACCCTTAAGAGGGTGTTCTGTATACCCTTGTTCTGTATAAAGAATCTCTTCTGCATAGAATACCCGTAAAAGATTCAGGCAGTGACATTCAAGGGAAATAAAATGAGGAATTGTGGGAAAGCGTGATTAGGGGTATGGAATAGCTCAGGAGGAAAGTTCCGAAATAGCTGCTTACTATGATGTGAGCGTTAGCTGGGCTATCCCATGTTCCACACTTGACTCATTGAGTTGATTCCAGCTCCTGGCAGTGCAGAAGGGCAGTAGAGCTGCCTGTAAGTTGTTACAGAAGCATCCTGCCACGTCTGTCTGCCGTGGAGCGGCTGGTGGGTGCCCTTCTGGTTAGCAGTGAGTGCTTACCTGCACTGTGACAGCTCTTCCGCTACAGGTTGGGTTAACTGCTGTCGAGTCAAAACTCTCTCATAGCTGACCAGCCAGTGAGTTTTCAGAGGCTGTAAATTGCACACAGGGGGTTCTGGTGGCTTAGTGGTGAGGAACTGCACTGCCAACACAAAGAGACATGGTTCAAATTCAGCAGTGGCTCTGCGGGAGAAAGATGGGCAGTCTCCTCCTGTATCTTTACCTGCCTCTGAAAGCCTGCCGGAGGGTCAGCAGTGCATTGGTTCCACTCCATGGTGCACAACTACCACAAGTTGCATGGGAGGAGATGGCCCACCTTTCTCCTGAGGAGGAGCTGGTGGATTCAAGTCACCTGCTTCTGGGTTGGTAGTGCAGTTCACTATACTGCCAGAACTCACTTTCGTGACATGTTGTTGTCGTTAGGTGCCATCGAGTGGTCTGAACTCTCTTCTGTCTTGACACACTCGAGACCATTGCAGCAGTCACTGTGTCAGTCCACATGGTTGAGGGTCTTCCTCTTTCACGACCCTCCACCTTCCCAAGCATCATATCCCTCTCAAAGGAATAGTGTCTTTTAGCAACATGCCCAGAGTATGTGAGAAGAAGCTTTATCATTGTCAGAGGTCTAGTTTTTGAAGTTTTTGGATCTTTTACATTTTATTTTAAATATTTATCAAATACATACGTATCAGCATTGTTCTAAGTACCGTAGACACAGCAGTGCACAAAACACTTGTGCATTTGCCCTCTTAGAGGTTATAGTCAGGGAGAAGGAGCAGGAAATAAGCAGATAGTCTTGTAAGGAGGAAACAGACAGTAACCAGATAAGTGTATAATATTGCCAATGTCATTAAGGATGATGGGAAAATAAAACAGAGGAAAGGTGGAAGGAGGGTGGAGAGGGGTAGAGAGAGGTTGCTATTTAAAATTTTTTTTAGGATCTATGATCTTTCCATAAAAAGAACTGTGGTGACACAGAGGTAAGAAAGTGCGCTGCAATACCAAAGGCACGTAGTTGGAATCCATCAGCTGTTCAGAGGGAGGATGAGCAGTCTCCTCCTGTGCGATTTACTGCCTCTGAAAATCTGCTGGAGGGTCTGCTCTGAGTTGATTCTGACTCAGCGGCACACAACAATGACAACAACAACATCCTTTCAAGATAGAGGTCCTTAAAATCAAACTTCCTCATATAGGGTTGTTATAAGGATGAGGGGGATTTGTCAGTATAGAAGGAACTTCAAAAAGCTGTTACCCTATTTCTTTCATGCGTCCTTCACATAAATGGCCTGTGATACAGGGGTGCTTACATTGGGTGACACCCTGAGCACAGATCCCTGAGTGATATTTTCCCTTTCTTCTTACTTTGCTGGCTCTGCCTCTATAGACCATGTTGGACGAGGATGACATGAAAGTTGCCGTGGATGTCCTGAAAGAACTGGAAGCCTTAATGCCCAGCGCGGCCGGCCAGGAGAAGCAGAGAAACCCCGAACACCGGTTGGTCCTTGGGGCTTTCGGAAGTTTGGCTGTCAGAGGTGATAGGTGAATTTTGTGGACCGGCCAAGCAGAATATTTGCACAAGTTTATAGAAAATGGACTAGGCATACCCTATGTTCTTGGATCTGATTTTGTCTTCTGCCAAGGTTTCTGCAGCAAATTCTTGTGTTTAGAAAACAGAAACCTCTCTGGTGGCCTAGTGGCAAGAAGCTGCACTGCAATCCCAGAGACTCATGGTTCAAATCCACCAGATGCTCTGCCGGGAAAGGAGGGAAAATCTCCTCCTGTACCAGTCAGATCTGATCTGACGGTACACAGACACACATACACAAAAGAAAAAAAAAATTAAAAAAAAAAAAAGAAAAGAAAACAAACCTGGGTTGGAAGGGACTGAAAATTAATGTTTGCAGCTTGAGTCTTTGTTAATATGGAGATGTTCAGAGCTCTTGAAATTCCTCTTTGTTCTGTACTGTTTTGATTATCTAGTGCTGCTGTAATAGAAATACCACAGGTGGATGGCTTTAGCACATTTTTTTTAAAGACAATTTAGAAAGTAGTTGTTTGGTGCCATGGAGTCGTAGACGACTCATAGCGACCCTAGGAACGAACGGCCTGAGCACTGTTCATACATAGAGTTTCCGGAGGCAAGCCATTTCAGAAGTGGATACCGCTCCTGCTTCCAGGCTTGTTTTTGTCAGGAAGCTCCAGCCAACACTGTCCACCATGGGTACCCATTACCACGATGGGCACATCACTGTCACAGTGTTCAGCATCACAGCAACCACGAGTTACCTCTGTACAGCAAGGCACAGACCAGTGCTTAGACATTTGAATTAAGGATATCACCTCTAGGCTTTTCTGTCTGCTGGCTCTGAAGGAAAGAACTTATCTCTTCAACTTCTCCTTCCTGGTTCCTTGGCGATTGCTGTTTTGGCATCCACAGGGGTCTCTGGCCTTGTCTGAAGGGAGTTACACTTCTAACCCAGAGGCCATATCCCTCTGGTGTTTTCGACCCTCAGTGAGATGGATAGGCTTAGTGACTACAGCAGTGGCCTTGAGCATGGCAGACATTGTGAGATGGCACAGGATCGGGCAAGGAGTCAGTCTTGTTCATAGGGTCACTGAGTTGTCAGCTCATGGCACCGAACAACAGTTGGTTAGATCGAGTTGCAGATTTAATCTCTTTGGCAAAAAATCGTGTCGCCAAATACTTGGTGACTATTCTAGGGCACATGTCTTTAGCTTGTACAACAGAATTTTCCAGACTTTTAAATCCTGTTTTCATTTTGCACAATTTATTTTTAGGTCCATCTCTTTCCTCATGCAGTGAGGAGAAAACATGCATTGTTGTTAAGGTCTAGCTTAGAAATCTCCTCGGTCAAATATCCAGGTTCGTCACTTACAGCTTCTACTTTCCACCAAACATTTGAACATGGTTGTACACATTTCTAGCAGCACTTGACATACATGTAGAGACTTTGTAACTCTTCTCACTTCCTCTGAGCCCTCATCAGAATTGCCTTTGGAGTTTGTAATTCTACCAACAATCTCTTCAAGGAAATCTGGTCTTTTAGGCACTTTAAACCTTCCAGCCTCCACCCAGTTTTGAGGTCATTCCCTGTTAGAGCAACAGCCCATCATCTGGTACCAAATTTAATCCTAGTTATCTAGTTCTACTACAGCAGACATGCCACAAGCGGATGGCTTTAGCAAACAGAAGTCTGCTTCTCACAGCTTGGGAGGTGGGAAGTGTGAGTCAGGGTTCTGGCTTTAGGGGAGCATTTCTCTCGCTGCAGCTATGGAGAAGTTCCTTAGTTCTTCAGCTCTGCTTCCTGGTCCATTGTAAGGGTTCAGTGAGCAACAGTCATGTGCATAGTACTTTGCTGGGTCCTTGGGGATACAAAGATGAACTTGAGCTTGTGTCTTTATAAAACAAATGCTTCTTGATTTGTTAGGGAAAAAAACAAAAAGAAGAAGCGGAGCCGGAGCCGAGATCGAGACAGAGACAGAGAACGAGACAGGGAGCGAGACAGAGACCGAGACCATAAACGGAGACACCGGTCACGTTCCCGATCACGTTCCAGAACGCGGGAAAGGAATAAAGGGAAGTCAAGATACCGGTCCAGGAGCAGAAGTCAGAGTCCTGTCAGAGACCGCAAGGAGCGGGACAAGTATGGAGAGCGGAGTCTGGACAGGTGGCGGGATAAGCACGTGGACCGCCCTCCCCCCGAGGAGCCCGCCATCGGGGACATTTACAGTGGCAAGATTACCAGCATCATGCAGTTCGGGTGCTTCGTGCAGCTGGAGGGACTAAGGTAATGGCTGGGGCTCTTTATATGCACCAGTGACAGACATAGTTCTCTCATCGGGGGGGGGGGGGGGGGGGGGGGGGGGGGGGGTGTTCATGCTCCAACAAGTCACTGTAGTTAATGGTACTGAAATCAGCCATGCCAGGGTCTTTTGAATGTTACCTTTTCTTTGAAATGTGGATAAATTGACATTATTTTTTTCCTGCCTCCAAGATGTCTCCCTTTTGCCAGTTGACACATGGTAATTTTTTCTCCCAATTTCTTTCCCTTGGAAGGATATATATATACTTTTACTGCGTGATGACTTTCTTGTTATGTTCCTTTTTAGTTTAAGACTGTTTCTTCCTGTTCAGTTCCAAAAGGAGTGGAAATCAGTTTGGGAAAGTTTCTCTTAGGCATGCTTTATATCTGGCATATCTGACTTTTCCTCAGGAAACGATGGGAAGGGCTTGTGCACATTTCTGAGCTCCGGAGGGAAGGTCGTGTGGCCAATGTGGCTGATGTGGTGAGCAAAGGCCAGAGGGTCAAGGTCAAAGTGTTATCCTTCACTGGGACCAAGACCAGCCTGAGCATGAAGGATGTGGATCAAGAGACTGGAGAAGATCTGAACCCGAATCGACGGAGAAATCTTGTTGGGGAAGCAAAAGCAGAGACCTCAATGCGGAATCCTGACAGACCCACTCACCTCTCCCTCGTCAGCGCCCCTGAAGTAGAGGATGATTCGCTGGAGCGCAAGCGTCTCACTCGTATCTCTGAGGCAGAGAAGTGGGAGATCAAACAGGTAGGAGCCATCAGCTTTGTAGACCCATGTGGTCAGTCATTCAGAGTGTAGTGTGGTGGCTAAGAGCACAGGCTCTCATAGCCTAAGAGGTCAGGTCTGACCACTCATTAGCTATGTGATCGTGAACCAGGTTATTCTGCCTCTTTGTATCTAATGTTCTCGTCTGTTAAGTAAGGCTGATGATGGTGGTGTGGTGTAGGGGGAATAGAGAGTAACTGGAAGGGAGCGTCTAGGTCAGTGCCTGGCGTGTGGGAAGTACCCCATTGGCAACCATTCCTCAGAACCGCAGTGTGACAGAGGCCATTCTGGCTGCAGGTCTGCAGAGACAAATGGATCATAGTTCCTGCACCTGAGACACTCTAGTCCGATGGAGGGGACAGATCTGAAGTAATAATTGTGAAGAGTCTGTTAGGTTAGAAATGTGCAGAGTACTGTGCAAACACGATGTGCAGAGTACTGTGCAAACACAGGAAGGTGCTGAATTTTTGAGGATGAGCCTGCTTTTTGGCCCCATGGTGTAGTGTCCTGTAGAAATAGGGTGGATGACATTGAGGCCCTGTCTCCTACATCACATGGGAAGAGCCTATGTTTCCTACGTGAAACCATTGAAATCTATGAGAAGAACTTAATCTCAGCAGGTTACAAGTGCTACAGCCTCTCCCCTTCCCTCCCATCTAGATGATTGCTGCCAATGTCCTTTCCAAAGAAGAGTTTCCAGACTTTGATGAAGAGACTGGCATCCTGCCCAAGGTGGATGATGAGGAAGGTAACCAGCCACTTGAATTCTTGAATTGTGGGGGAGAGGGGTTATTCTGCATGGTGGGAATGGGTAATAGGTAGGGAGTCATCTCTCAAAGATCAAAGGGGACAATCATCAAAGGTTAACTTGAATTTACAATTGCTGTCTTTTTGACCTTGGGAAATGTGCTGGTGCCCATGGACATTGTTTTGGTGAAACTGATTATTTCTCTTTTGTTTTGCTAATTCTCCTGGGGGAACTTTTAGATGAAGATCTGGAAATTGAACTGGTCGAGGAAGAGCCTCCATTCCTAAGAGGACACACCAAGCAGAGCATGGACATGAGCCCCATTAAAATTGTGAAGAACCCAGACGGCTCCCTCTCTCAAGCAGCCATGATGCAGAGCGCCTTGGCTAAGGAAAGGCGGGAACTCAAGCAAGCCCAGCGGGAAGCCGAGATGGATTCTATCCCCATGGGACTCAACAAACACTGGGTTGATCCTCTGCCTGATG